AGCCAAAGGCGAGGATCGAGAATGCGGTTTCACTATACGCTGAGTGAGTTAGTTACGGCTTATTTAAATTTTGCTTACGTAAGCGATAAAATTATATTTCGCCGTGTACCCCAGTAGATCCGTATTTGAACCACGTAAGCGAATTTAATATTCCATCGGTATCAATAAACGGTTGTTAAATTATTATAGATTTTATGAAACAATATTCGGTGTAATCATATAAATAACTGCTACTTTTAAATATTATCACAGTTATTAATAAATAACAGGTGTGATTTTCGCTCCTAATGATTTAATATCCCATTGACTACTCGCGTTTGCTATTAAAAATCAAATGCGAATATGATTTTTACGATCAGTGTGCTAAAGCCTCTATTCGCTCGTTTTTACGATCCAGCGGGTTGTCTGCTGCAATTTCATTTCACTATTAATAGAGCGCATCCGATGGCTCACGGGTGCAGCGAAAATTTGTGATTTTACATAATGCTATTTTAAAATAGTGTCATGATTTTTCATATGATATGCTATTTTACACACACACACATATATTTATTATTTCAATATTGACTAGTGTTAACTCTCTACTGCTGAACATAAGTTTTCCCTGCAAAGGGAGTTTTGCCAATAGTTGCCACGCTTGGCAAGCGGGTTAGCAATCGCAGTTAGGCCTTTGAGGACGTTTTAAGAGGGATGCTGTTACCCATCATTTGCCATATATGTATATATATTATATATACTTGTAAAATATTACAAGATTAGTTCAATAACAATTATTTTCCAAAAATAAAGAAGCTAATTTTGAAAGTAGTTGCCAAATATGGTATAAATTATTTAATAATTTTTAAAATTCTCACACAAAAAAATTAAGGTTTTTTTTATTTAACTTGCGAATAGTAAGATCTTTATACAAAACAAACTAAACAGGAAATTGCTTAGTCACATAACTAATAGGTAGGAAACTATAACTGGGATGAAACGATAAATCGACCGACTATATATTGTACATATATTCATAGATAAATTTAGAATACAATACAGCAATACAGATTACAATACAGCATACTGCATATAAACTAAGCGTAGGCGATATAAATCATATCGGTGTAACGGTCCAATATCCAATATCTAGATATGGAACGGAACGCAAATTGTGTATTGGATTTTGCTATAGTACTGACTGACATCTATGATTGAAACACTTTACAGGAGATAACTCAATACAATGATATCAATATATATAACTATATATATAGCTGCGTACTATATGTTGTATATCTGATTCCAAGGAATACACTAGCGCTTGAATCTGAAACCTTAAAAATAACAATAGCCTGAGATCCCCTCGCTGACTTTTGGAGGTTTTTTTTATACCACAAAGCTGGCAAACAAGCATACAGTCCGTCTGTCAGTCAACGATCACTGTAGTCTGTGCACGCCTTTAACACTAGGGATGTCACGTGCGCGTTGTCGACCCTGAAAAAACCTTAATATGCGCTTTTTGAAAATACTATAGGGAAAACCTAAGCTTATTTCACAGCTTGAGCATTCGCTCGACCGTTTAGGTTTAAGTGTGTGAGGATGAATTCCCTATCAATGGCGAGTGATGCGATGATAAAAGGTGGCTGTAGGCATAATTTCAAACAACTCCTCAGGTACAAGGTTTTTTAATTAAACTTGGTTTATATTATTCATTCTTATTAAGATTATTGTCGATCGAGACAAGTAGATGTTAAAATAAACATATTATCAATCGACTTCGAAAAAGAACGAGGTTCCCAACTCGGCTGTATCTTTCTTTATGTCTCCACTCTACCTCACATAGTTGCCATTTAAAAATCTTTTTATAAATTAGAAATGTTTGAAACTAATAGAATGTACCCGGTTTGCCTGCTTTTAATAGCATATATATATATATATATATATATATATATATATATATATATATACATACAAGCCGGACAAGTTTAAGACTTATTATTACATTATTGTGTTATTTATAATGAAAAATACTCGACCACAAAAGTTATGAAAGGAACATCTTGTCGAAGTTTTTCCAAGAGTAGTTCCTTTTTGAAGTTCTCCTATTGGAACAACCAAGAGACTATAGTATGGAGTTCTTCAAAAAGGGATAAAGAGGTTTCTTCAAGGTCGCCAACGCGTCTAATGTCCCTAGTATTGCAGACGTTCATAGGCTACGGTAACCGCTTACTATCAGGTGGATCGTGGGTTTGTTTGCCATCTTAGTGGTATAAAACAAAATAAAACATGTCAAAATACAAATTTTCCAAACTGTGCACAAAGTTTTCTATTATTATTTTATTTTCCGAATTTTACGTTCCATTCCCTAGATTCAGCATAATACATTGTAAGTATTTACTTTTAGGTACGGTACTACGTTTGTCAGCAAAAAAACCTCGCCTGTGAATTTCATTACATCATTACAGCCATTTTCCAGAACCCTTATTATATTCTCGTATTATATAATAGAATACTTTTATTACAAAATATCCTTAATATGTGGTGTAATGCGACATCAAAGAACTAAGCCCTCGACCCTTATTCTTACGGCCTTCTTAACAGCCCGGATAGCGTATACAAAAGGAGGGTTCACAAGTCTTGTTAATTAAAAATAACTCAATAAAACTTCTCAATTCAAGCCTTTTCTTCCTTTAAAAGACTATTTAAAAAGTTTAACGTATTACAAGTTAAGGATTCTTAATATTTTCAAATAGTATTTAAAGAATATCAAAATATGCATTTTGAAATTATGAAAAGTGCTCATATTAAACAGGGTGGAAAGGTATTTATTTATGCTTTTGTAGATACACTTTTAATATAGATATTAGGTTATAACAATAGGCGGACTTATCCTTTAAAAAGATTTCTTTGAGACAAACTTGAGAACCGGAAAGTAGAAAGTTATAGAAAGTATATAAAGCATAACATATATAGTGCAAAAATAATATGACAAATTATATATTAATAACTATATAATTAGTAACAGTCTAACGGTTAACCTATAATTAATAAAATTGTAATAACTATTAAACATATCGTCATAGTCGTAGAATACTGACGGATCTGACAAAGATTACATATAAAGATCCGTCAGTATTCTACGACTATGACGATATAAGTAACTCAACTGTTAATTGTACTGTAAAATCTTTTAATTTGAACTTTGAAGACATGAACATTTAGATGAGGAATTCAAAGTCCTACTAGGCTTTGCACTGTAAAAGATTTTGTAACTAATGGGACTTGTAAATAGGTAATGATAGAAATCCAATGTATGGTATTTTAGACAACGCAGTGATTGTTAGTAATGGGGACTAACAGCCTTACTACTAGCAATATACCCTGAGGTCGATATCCTGTCAGGTAAACATACTTTGTCAGATCGACATTCACGCAGTTTCCCCTTATCTTATTTTATTTTTCGCATATGGGGTCAGCTAACCTGATTCACGTGGACCCATATGGATCTTTTATGCTTCCCCCTGCTTTATACCATCATTTCATAGATCCTATGTGTTACCCTAACGATATCCCGCGGTTTAAGATATCTGTAGTCCCCTGGCTCTGGATAAGCCGTTCCCAGTAGACTCATACACAACCAACGCAATGCCAACGAATCGCAGTTGTACATCAAGTGTTCCATGGATTTCAATTTCTTACCACACAGTATGCACAGTGTGTCCGAGAATAGACCCATCTTGTATAGTATATGTCTTACTGGTATATGTCCAGTCAAGGCACCCATAATGAGTCTTGCCTATGCCTTGCCTTGTCTGCAACCGCTATAGATGAGTTTATCCCATCCCCCAGTTTCCCCTGGATACCGGATACTGGATGTGATTATTTTTTGTTAAATCCGGTGATACCTACGTATCACCGGTCACTGGTGTCCCGCCATCGTATACCGATAGCGCAGGTGGGGTTACCATTCCACTATCATCCATTAAGAAGACATTGCCACACGTCGATAAACTAAACTATAAACGCTGTTATTAAGCAATTTATGTACTACGACGGGTTAAGTTCTAAGCACAATACAGCTTAGTCTTAATCCATAATGAGCTTATATTCTAACTAAATGCAATTAAACTTCCGTCGAGTAATAGAGCTTCTTGTAATTTTAGAGTAAGGATACAATAGTATACTGTGTTATGTCCATGGTACTGCTCATGTCTATAGGCGATGGTTACCACTTACTATCAGGTGGGCCGTCAGTTTGTTTGCCATTCTAAGTGGCATAAAAAAAGAAATAAAAAAACGTGTCAATATTCCTTACTACTAGGGAAATAAAGTGTATGTAACTAGCTCTTTCCCGCGGCGTGGCTTAACAAACTCAATTGATGGCTAGACATAGGGATTACTACTAGCACTAGATGAATTATGATGAATTTTGGTACAGAGATAGATGGACTCTGGAGATGGTCATAGGCTACTTTTTCTCTTGATCAGTAAAAATATTTCGGTCATACGGACGAAGTCGCGGGTAAAAACTAAAATTTTTAAACGTGAATTTGCCATTGCTGAACCTAAGCCTTCCCCATAAGGGGAGTTATGCCAGTAGTTGCCACGTTTGGTAGATGAGTTCACAACCGCTATTAGGCTTTAAATAATGTTTTAAGAGGGACACTACTGCCCATCCCTGGACTATTAAGTTCCCTTAGTCACGCCTTATGATATCCACGGATAAAAAAGGGATGGCCTACTCTATGTATATACGGTTTCTTTTAATATATATATATATATATATATATATATATATATATATATATATATATATATATATATATATTATTCATTGCACTAAAACATACAGTAACAACAATAAGTTAATAACAATGTTAGCAAAGGCGAACTTATCTCTAAAAAAGATCTCTTCCAGTCAACCTAACACAGTGGTATAGGAAGTAGTGAGTGGGCAGTATTTATATATATAGTAATTAAATATATTATATTTTTTTTAAATATACAATTTCTTTTCCCAGGTAATGTGTTCGTGATCGCTGCTATAATAATCGAGAGAAACCTGCAGAATGTCGCCAATTACCTGGTGGCGTCGCTCGCGGTCGCAGATCTTATGGTGGCCTGCCTTGTCATGCCACTCGGAGCTGTCTACGAGGTATGAACATATCCTATGATCCTCATTTCCTAAGGCATAAAGGTATAACCACATCTGAGGGGAGAAGAAAAGATTGTTTTTTTTTTTTTTTATACAACTTAGAATGACAAACAAGCTGACGGCCTACCTGATGGAAAGTGGTAACCGTCGCCTATAGACATGAGCAGTACCATGGACATAACAGAGTATACTGTTTCGCCCATGATACCCCCCATGCGTTGCGTTGTAGAGATTAGCAACCCCATTACTAGCGATAAACCCTATCAGGTCGACCTCCCATGGTGCCCCTCAGAAATCATCGTGCTGAAATCCAGGTGCATCATCATTACGATGAACTAACTAGCCTGCCTTTTCATCCTCATCTATCATCCTTCACTGGTGCCCCGCCAACGCAGGCGGGGTTACCATTTCAGTATCATCCATAAAAGAAAATCTTCACAAACGTTCATATTTACAACATTAATAGAATGATTAAACTATAATTTGAAAATTAAAAAAGTATATTTTTATGCCACTTGTTATAGGAAATAAATAAACTAATAGCTCATCTCATGGGTATAGATAGTGGTAACCGTTGCCAATAAACATGAACAGCATCATATGCGTCACAGGATATGGTCAATAATTTTCCCTTAGTATTAAATTGACTCCTCTGGATACGACTGAAAGTTGGTTTGACCCGTATTTTTCTCCTTTGCGCTTATGCCCCGGATATGTCCAAGCCACCAAAGGTCAGAGAGGATTTCTGGGATAGTGTAAGAGAGATTATGACTAAATGTAAGGAGAATGAAAGAATTATTTTGATAGGTGATTTTAATGGCTGGGTGGGAATCCGTCGCGATGGATATGAAAGGAATTTAGGAATGTTTGGAGATAAAAGAGTGAATGAAAATGGTGAAAGTTTATTAGAAGTATGCCTGGAGAGAAATCTGGTGGTGACTAATACTTTGTTTAGTCACAAACTGATTCATATGTATACATGGCAAAGGCAAACTGAGAGAAGTATGATTGATTTTGTAATTGTGGATGAACGATTGAGAGCGAAAGTGAAGGATACAAGAGTCTATCGTGGTACGAATGTCGGAACCGATCACTTTTTGGTGATATCGAGAATAGGTGGCTTATTCAATAAATGGCGACATCGTCCACGTGTTCGTATGTCAGAAATAGAAAGAGTAAGAGTAGAGAGACTGACAGAAGAACAGGTTCGAAATCAGTATCAAGAAAGATTGAATGAAAGATTTAGAGAGCTACTGAAGAAAGATAACTATGAGATAGAAGAATTTTGGAAGGAATTTAAATGCGGAGTCTTTGATATAGCTACTCAAATTTGTGGTGTAAGTAAGAGGAAGGATGTTAAGATATATATATATATATATATATATATATATATATATAAAGAAAAATATATGGATTTATATATATATATATATATATATATATATTGAAAAAATTGCAAAAGAGAAGTATGATGTAATGAAAAAGAAAGTTAAAGAATTAGTAAGCAAAAAGAAAGAGGAATGTAAGGATGAGTACGAAAGGAAATTCTCTAGAAATTTTCGAGCTAATCAAAAGCTTTTCTGGCATTTAGTTCGAACAGCTAGAGGTAAAAAGAGAGATCCGAAAATGGGCGTGATAAGGGATATGGATGGTAATGTTATCACGGAACAAAAGGAAGTCTTAGATCATTGGAAGAGATATTTTGAAAGTTTATTTGAACGTGGAAGTGAAAGAAAGAATGTTGAAAATGAAATAATGGACGAAGAAGTTGACAGTGAAAGTGATATAAGTATGGATGAAGTAATGAATGCAATGAAGATTATGAAATTTGGTAAAGCAGCGGGATTCGATAGAATATCTGCCGAAATGCTTAAAGAAGGTGGAGAAATCATTGTAAACCTGCTGTGTCTGCTGTTCAATAAATGTTGGCGGTCCGGTTGTGTTCCAGGTGACTGGAGCAAAGCTGTTATTGTGCCACTATATAAAGGCAGCGGGTCACAGCAGGAGTTCAAAAATTTCCGCGGAATAAGCCTTCTTAGTGTTGTAGGCAAATTGTATGCTAGGATTTTGATTAAAAGAGTGATGAATGAGACGGAAAGTAAAATTTGGGATGTGCAAGCAGGGTTTCGAAAGGGTATGGGATGTACGGATCAAGTCTTTTCCTTAAGGTGCATAACAGAGAAAACCTTAGCTCAACATCAGAAGGTTTTCTGCGCCTTCATTGACCTTGAAAAGGCTTATGATAGAGTGGAGAGGAATGAACTGTGGTCAACACTGGCAATGTATGGGGTGAGCAGCCATTTGATACGGGCATTCAAATCTTTATATAAGGATTCAAATGCCTGTGTCAGAATAAATGGAGTCTATACGGACTGGTTTGGCATTGAACGCGGTGTTAGACAGGGCTGTGTAGCGTCTCCTTGGCTGTTCAACCTATTTATGGACAGTTGCTTGACCGATTTGAAAGGATCTAATTGTGGATTCAGGATGAATGAGTCTCTGTTTAAGACTCTTTTATACGCCGACGACCAAGTGCTTTTTGCATCGTCGGAGTATGAATTACAACAAATGGTGACTATAATGAATGAAGCGTATGCAAGAAAAGGTATGAAAATAAATGCGAAGAAGACGAAGGTAATGGTTTTTGAGAGGAATGAAAGTTTAACGGCATGCCAGATTATGATAGGAGATGAAAAAGTAGAGCAAGTGAGTGAGTTTCTATATTTAGGTTCTTTGTTTACGAGGGATGGGAAGTGTGACAGAGATATTGAGAGGAGAGTAAAAGCGGGAAACAGTGTTAACGGTGCACTGCTCTCGATTATGTCAAGTAAAAATGTATCGAGCAAAGCTCGCCTTGCTATAATTCAAGGAGTACTGACACCAACACTCATGTATGGAAGCGAATCGTGGGTATGGCAGAAGAAGCATGAAAGTAAGATAAATGCTGTACAGATGAGAGCTTTGAGAAGTATGTGTGGTATTACTTTAAAAGATAGAGTAAGAAACAGTGTGATTAGAGAGAAGTGTGGACTGAAAGACGATGTAATGACAAAAATTGAAAAAGGAATGTTGCGTTGGTTTGGTCATTTGGAGAGGATGGATGAAAGAAGAATTACGAAAGAGATTTATCGATCAAGAATGAATGGAGATGTCGGTAGGGGCCGCCCTAGACGGACGTATGTCGACCAAATAGGCGACGTGCTGAAGAAGGGCCAAATTAAAAGTACCCGTAACCGACGAGCGTGTATGACAAGATTGATGAATGTGGAAGAAGCGAAAGAGGTTTGTTTGAATCGAAGCATTTGGCGTTCCATTGTTTCTGCCTACCCTAATGGGAGACAGGCGTGACAGATATGTATGTATGTAAATTGACGTGCGTGCAAATTAAATTATGCACTTTTTCAAATATTTTTTAACGAATCCTCTAATTAAAATTCAAGTCCCGCAACGCAATACATATACATTTTATTCAATTTGTCAGTTGGTTACCCTTCGTGAATGTTTAAAAACGGACGACAATTTGCCTGGACCGTAGTCAGGGGTGGCACAGGGCCAATACGAAATCTAGACTGGTAAAATCTTAACTTATATATCTATTTTATATCTTCAGGTGGGGATATAAAACAGACCTCTAAACAGACACGACTCTTTTCCCATTTGTGGTATAGTCAGAGACAATCGTTAATAATTAATGTAACTACGAACGAATCATTTAAAATCTTTTTATACGGATATTTTTTTTTTTTATATACAACTTAGAATGACAAACAAGCTGACAGCCCATTTAATGGACAGTGGTAACCGTCGCCTATAGACATGAGCAGTACCATGGACATAACAGAGTATACTGTTTCGCCCATGATACCTCCCATGCGTTGCCATTCCTGAGGATTCAGATGTTATTCCTCTGTACGATGTAAATTCACGCCATATCCCACTCTTCAAACCGAAACACAGCCATGCAAACACAATTGCTTCACGATAAAAACACGAATGGGACAGAGGTACCCAAGTAAACGACTTTTGTACAAAGTCTCCCTCTGGTAAACTCCCTTATTTAAATTTTATTGATCAATAAAATGTAGTACAAAAAGTAGATTTAATGCTATAGGCATTTCCTTTTCTTTCGACATTCTAAGTTGTATAAAAAAAAAGTCAATAAGCATATGTAATTTCTCGTTTTTTTATGATTCAAAAGATTTATCCATAATATAAATGTCTGAATGTCTACTAAAAAGTCATCCAGCCCCCCTAAGTCCGGCACTGGTCAGTATCGCGTAGTCTGTACAAAGGTATAATGAACAGATATATCTGAATGAAAAATACATCGCCCTACGAGAGATGTAGCTTTTTATTTTTAATAACATTAACTGAGAGATTTATGTATGTACTCCGTTATGAATTAGTCTTTTGTGTCGAGTGATTTTTTATAATATTTATTTATTTTACACTTAATAAAGTACCGCAATTTATTTGAAAAGTGTAAAATAAATAAATATTTATTTATTTATTTTACAATGGTGCAATAGCACCATTTATAAAATAGTAAATACATTTAATTGTAATTAGGTAATAATAATACAATTTAAATTTAATAATAATACACACAGAAATTGTGATCTAGCTAATGGCACATATTATGACTAGGAAATGCTGTTTCTTATGATAGATTTAGATTTAGATTTGTCTATTTGCGAGAACATTGTTTTTTACAGATATTGATCTATTAGGTGAAGTACAAATGTTCGCCTTATATTCTAAAGCTTGCAAAATTATTATTGGGTACAAGATACATTACATTTAATACATACATATAAGTGCTAATTAATAATGGAGTACAAATTATGTATGTCATTCTGTAAATGTCCAGACCACTTTCATATAGAATTGGTATTTTAACTAATTATAAACTTACCCCCTTATTTCTAATAACGTCAATTCCTAAAAATTTCTTTAAAATTATTTTGGCTATTAAACTGCTATTGCTATTTTCTGTCTCTCTTTCTCTCTCTTTTTGTGTTAAATTCCCAATATTTTTTTATATGACTAAGAATGGCAAACAAGCTGACGATCCATTTGATGAAAAGTGGTAACCGTCGCCTATAGAAGAGCAGTACTATGGACATAACAAAGTATACTATTTCGCCCATGAAACCCCCATGCGTTGACATTCCTGAGGACTCAGGTGTTATTACTCTGTACCCTGTAAATACACTGCAAAAATCCCACCCTTCAAACCGAAACATAGCCATGCAAACACACTGCTTTATGGTAGAAACACGAATGGGACAGGGGTGCCCAAGCAAACGACTTTTGTACAAAATCCCCCTCTGGTAGTTGTCGATGTACTTCAAATACATTACAAGCTAATTACTCATTGTATCGCCTACGAGTATGACGTACAATTAACTACTCACTAAAAAAGTGACAAAGAAGTATAATATTTAATATAGGTTTGTAAAAAAGTTTAGTTACTACGCATTACTAGTCGTTTCCCGCGGCGTTGCCAGCTTCTAACTATGTAATTCCCGTATATCATTCCCATTTAAACTTTACATGAATCCGGTCTTACATTGTATTGTATACTTAAATGATAATTATAATACGTATCTAATATCTTCACAAAGTTTCAGCCAATTCAACTAATCGGTTATTTTATAGCATTTTATATGTGATTCTAATATATTCTTTATTGCACTAAAACATACAGTAACAACAATAAGTTAATAACAATGTTAGCAAAGGCGAACTTATCTCTAAAAGAGATCTCTTCCAGTCAACCTAACACAGTGGCATAGGAAGTAGTGAGTGGGCAGTAATAGTGCTAAACAGAAATTAAAATAAATATTTACATAAAAAATAATACACATATATATATATATATATATATATATATATATATATATATTCTATAGATTAATAGAAATAAACAACACTAAATGTTAAGTGGAGCAAATCGAAACGCATTAGTGAAAACCGCATTCAAATTGGTTAAGCCGTTTCTGAGATTAGCGTGCCCAAATAAACATACATACACACAAACAGACATACAAACAAAAATTCTAAAAATCATTGTTTTGAGTTCTATTGTGTTTATAAAGCCCATATAATACTTTTTCTAATATATCTTCCATGTACAGACAGCAACCAGGTACGATTTTATTATATGTATTGATTGATATATTAATTCTTTTTATTTCTCCTCCAGGTCAGCCAAGGCTGGATCCTGGGGCCGGAACTATGTGATATGTGGACTTCCAGCGATGTTCTTTGCAGCTCCGCTTCTATCCTGCACCTTGTTGCTATTGCTACGGACAGGTAAACATTTACCTTTATTGGAATTTTTTTTTGTACCACTAAGGTGGCAAAAGCATACGGCCCACCTGATGGTAAGCGGTTACCGTAGCCTATGAAATTGTCCTCTTTTTTTACAGCTATGGAAAGGCATTTTAACACAATGTAGCAATCGAGTCGCCTCATTACACGTATGTTTCACGTTAACCTGGACTTTAGAAATTTATCTATGATAGGCGTAACTTAAAACTACCCCTGGTATACTCGTTGAGCACTAAGTTCCCGGGCTGACTCGAAAAATTGATGAGAATTGATGAAAAAGATGGGGTTCTACAAAAGGGGGGTATAGAGGTTTCTTCAGGGTCGGCTACGCGCGCGTAATACCCCTGGTATTGCAGGCATTCATAGGCTACGGTAACCGCTTACCATCAGGTGGGCCGTATGCTTGTTTGCCATCTCAATCGTATAAAAAAAAAATTAACTACGTTCATTACTTGACCATATAAGATCTAATTTGCCGCGTGGTCCCGGTATATAATAGGCCACCCCTTTCCAATCCCGTGGGTGTCGTAAGAGGCGACTAAGGGAGGGCGAGAGATGAGCAGCAGCGTCTCTCTTAAAACATCTCCAAAGCCTAACTACGGTTGCCAATCCACCTGCCAAACGTGGCAACTACTGGCAAATCCCTCCATTAGAAAGGCTATGTTCAGCAGTGGACAGTTAAAAGCTGATATGATGATGATGATGATATGATCTAATAGCAACCATTAGGGGGGAAAGGGATTGTTAGTGATGGAGACTGAGAATCCCATTGCTAGCATTATACCCAACCAGGTAGACCTCCTCGCGGTTCCCCCTGGAAACTATCATGGTTAATTCCTGATGAATTCATCATGATGGGCTAACTGGCCTGTTTTCATTCTCATCTATCACCCTTCACTGGTGCTCCGCCAGCGTATTCCGTTACCATTCTATTTTCACCCATCAAAAAAAAATAGCAACCAATAAGAAAATATCAGTAATAAACATTTTCACTAATAGATAATAAATATATTAGTAGTATTTTTAATATTTACCCCTGAGAATCAAATAAAAAAAATGTATATTGATTAAAAACCATAGGGATACTTTGTACAAAAGTCGTTTGCGTGAGTACCTCTGTCCCATTCGTGTTTCTACTGTGAAGCAGCTGTGTTTGCATGACTGTGTTTCCGTTTGAAGGGTGGGATATGGCGTGAATTTACAGGGTACAGAGGAATACCACCTCAGTCCTCAGGAATGGCAACGCATGGGGGGTATCATGGGTGGAACAGTATACTCTGTTATGTCCATGGTACTTCTCATGTCTATAGGCGACGGTTACCACTTTCCATCAGGTGGGCCGTCAGCTCGTTTGCCATTTTAAGTTGTATAAAAAAATTCTACCATCTACAGAAGAAGAAAAAAAGGTCTAAATATACTTTCTTTTATTTGCAGGTACTGGGCTGTGACAAACGTTGATTATATCCATATGCGCAATGAGAAGCGAATCTTTACGATGATTGTGCTGGTCTGGGGAGCGGCGCTTGTAGTCTCGTTAGCCCCACAACTGGGCTGGAAGGATCCAGACTACCTCGCCAGGATAACGCAACAGCAGAAGTGCCTCGTGAGCCAGGACCTCGCGTACCAAATCTTCGCAACTTGCTCCACATTCTACGTTCCACTGGCTGTTATCCTAATACTGTACTGGAAGATATTCCAAACGGCGAGAAGACGTATTAGACGGCGAAGGGAGCCGCCTCCGCCGCGTCCCACGTCCGCTGACGGAGCGCCCCCTTCAGGGCGTCCAGTGCAATCAGCGAGGGACAGGAGGTTCGTGAAGAAACGGTTCCTCAACCTGAAGAAATGCAATCAACGAACCCGCGCGGAGACTTTAGCTGCCGCACTGTTGCTGACAGAAGGACAAAGCACTTCCACAGTGGATACGCTGGACGACGAGCCTCGTACCACGGCTTTCACCATAAACGAGAAAGTGCCACCGCCAGTTTCTCCAGAGAAGTCTTCCTCGACCGTTACGAATGGATCGAAACCGGAGCGTTCCATCATTCCCGCTCCCACGCAGAGAGAAAAGAAGGAATCTTTAGAAGCAAAGAGAGAGAGGAAGGCAGCGAAGACGCTAGCAATCATCACGGGAGCGTTTGTGTTCTGCTGGCTCCCATTCTTCATTATGGCCCTGGTGATGCCAATTTGCCAAACTTGTGTGATTAGTGATTACCTGGCCAGTTTCTTTCTGTGGCTCGGCTATTTCAATTCGACGCTAAACCCAGTCATCTACACTATATTCAGCCCCGACTTCCGCCAGGCGTTCGCTCGAATACTTTTCGGGACTCACCGGCGCGGGCGGAATAAAAAGTTCTAACGAAAATGTCCCTATTATGTATATAACTGAGTCCAATACAGAGACTCCCAGAGACTATGTTACTTCACTAATTGTATTATATTTCAATGCTTTCCTGTATGTTATACATACTACAGTTTGTAGTGAGTGTAAATACGTTTAGCTGAGATTTGTAAATACTATAAAGATATATATATATAATAGATGATGTTGACAATTGTTTTTTTTACGCGTTATAGTATTATGCAGCCGCGTGGGAGTCGCTCGAGAGTCCAGGGCGACTCCGCCGCCAGCTCTTATGTTGTTTCCGGTGACATTACGAAATAAATATTTAAATTATATCAAAAGACGTTCTTTTATTTACTTATTCTATATATATCAAGAAAAATCAATCCGTTCGTGTACTCACAACACATAAATACATTAGCCCCAAGACTTTATTTCTTATTGCATTCCATAATGTAGTTGGCAAATATTGAAGCAGATCTAACTATAAGCCTTATTCGGTACAGCAATAAGGAGAGAGGACTACCTTTTATGCTTTATAAAAATAGCTAATGAATTTAAAATTATATTTTTTATGCAATTTAAAATGGTAAACAAGCTGATGGTCCACCTAATGGAAAGTAGTAACCGTCGCCTATAGACATGAGCAGTACCATGGACATAACAGAGTATACTGTTTCGCCCATGATACCCCCCATGCGTTCCCATTCCTGAGGACTCAGGTGTAATTCCTCTGTACCCTGTAAATTCACTGCCATATACCACTCTTCAAACCGAAACACAGTCATTCAAACACAACTGCTTCACAGTAGAAACACGAATGGGTATAAGGTACCCAAGTAAACGACTTTTGTACAAAGTCTTTCTCTGGTAAACTGACCAGCAGCCGAAACCACCTGTTATATAAACCTGCTGTGTGGTTTTAGCGTTGAATGAGCCACCCTTTCCTTTCCTGTAGGTGTCATAAAAGGTAATTAAGGCCGGCAGCACACCCACAATGCCTGCGATGTTGTGGGTGATCATGAACGGCGGTAATCACTTACCATCAGGTGAGCCGCATACTCCTTTGACCCGTCTGTTATAAAGAAACCTAATCGTAGAGATATGGGTAACAACATCCCTATTAAAATATCACCGAAGCCTTACTGCAGTTGCCAACACGTCTACGAAGCATGGCGACTATTAGCAATACCCTCCTCATGGTGAAGGTTCAGCAGTGGACAGTTAAGGGCTGGTATAATAATAATAATTTACTACTAAGCTACTATAACATGAATTATTATGTTTGTTTTCTTTACTAATACTGTACTTATCCGTGTACAAAACTTTATTCAACACTCTTCAGTACTTTTTGCGTGAATTTACTGGATACAGAGGAATAACACCTGAGTTCTCAGGAATGGCAACGCATGAGGGGTATCATGGGCGAAACAGTATACTCTGTTATGTCCATGGTACTGCTCATGTCTATAGGCGACGGTTACCACTTTCCATCAGGTGGACCAACAGCTTGTTTGCCATTCTAAGTTGTATAAAGAAAAGAGTAACAAAATTCTATAATTTTCTCCATATATGTAGATACATACATGTCACCCATCTAATAAACGTACCATAAACGTTGCTTAACCTCATTGATCGAGATCAAGCAAATAGACTACATAAACTATGAACACCTAGCTCAACAACTATTATACCAGTATGATCCTAAACATTTCTAAACTCGCTGAAGAATTTCACGAATCAACATACTCGTATTACCTATGTTAATTCATTTAAATTACTCCAGCATATTCCCAACTTTAGGGAAATTCCCGAAGTTTCATATTACAGGCTGATATTAACATACCTACTTCGTATAATATCGGCCTGTATAATGCGAATATGTTCGCAAAAATTTATACAAGTTAAGCTATTTACATAATTATTATATTAATTCTGTTTATAATTGATTGAGTTGTCAAAGAGTTAAATAATTAAGAAGTATAAGGAACCTACCCAGAGGAGACTTTGTACAAAAGTCGATTGCTTGAGTACCTCTGTCCCATTCGTGTTTCTACGGTGAAGCAGCTGTGTTTGCATGGCTGTGTTTCCGTTTGAAGGGTGGGATATGGCGTGAATTTACAGGGTACAGAGGAATACCACCTCAGTCCTCAGGAATGGCAACGCATGGGGGGTATCATGGGTGGAACAGTATACTCTGTTATGTCCATGGTACTGCTCATGTCTATAAGCGACGGTTACCAGTTTCCATCAGGTGGGCCGTCAGCTTGTTTGCCATTCTAAGTTGTATAAAAAAAAACTTAGATATATATTGATGAATATGAAAAAGAATCTGTGCAACCATTTAGAAGCATCAACACAATAAAATAAATGAATATTTATAGTATTTATTTTTCTTAGTATTCAGAGATTTTTTTACAATTCATTTAATAACCGATAGGGTTCACTCCCGTGTTTATTTCACATAAATTTTGATATTATCAAAAGTTACTTTTTCTTTTCTGTGCAAAATTTTGTATCTAGCAAAAAGCGCCATACATCCCCTGAAAAAAACATCTAGATGAAATCCAAACAACTGTCGGAAACAACAAACATAGTAATTTCATTAAATTCCCATTATGCACATCGTCTTAAAAAGGAACACAGGTTATTAAAAAAAAAATTATTTAATAGCCAGCTTTAAAAAAAGTCAGTTCTCAATTCGTCTTATCTTCGCTAAATCTGAAATAAATTTATGACTCTTATTTTTAATCGAATGGGATTACGTTAATCCTATATCAATTATGCCAAGATTGATGACTGTTTTTTATGTAACAATTTTCAATTTCCGTTTTTTATTGTAAGAATTGTGTGTGTGTGTGTGTGTGTATGTGTGTGTGTTTGTGTGTGTGTAGGTTTATTATTATTTATATACTTTTATTATTTACATATATAGGTGGTAGTAGTAGGTACAATACTAATTCTAAACTTGATGTAATCATACAATATAAAAATTCATAGCTTATACACAACCTTGACAAAATGATAACGAGTCAATAACCGTAATTATTGTTTTCGTTTTATTTATGTAATTTTCTATACGCAATATACACATATAGGTGCTTATTGTAACGTCATGTTCATGTAAAAAGTTATGACCTATATCTGGTTAGTTGATTGGAATTATTTTGTTTAATTCCGCTACCGTAAGTATGTGTGCGACTGCCAACATTTAAAAATTTATTACTATTAGTGAAAGTTCAATGACCTTTCATTTACAAATTTCTCGATAAGCAATGATAAAATTTCTAGATATGGACTTACGCAAAATAGCCTACTTCAGTAAAATGAATGACCGATATTTTTTTTTGGTAAATTGTGTTTTTTGGAAATTATATTTAAATCTGTATATATATATATATATATATATATATATATATATATATATATATATATATATATATCTATATATATATATATATATATATATATATATATATATATATATATATATATAATTGCTAGCTTCAATTTATTGACCCTTTTTTTGAATTATTTGAATATTAATAATGATTAACAATCCCCCCCCCCGTAATTAGGTTTAGGTGATGTTTTAAGAGAGACGGTACTGCCTACAAATATCGCTCGACTATTAAGTTCCCTTAAACGCCCACGGAAAAGGAAGGGGTGACCCTTTCTATGCCAGGACCACACGGCAATACATTAAAATACTTACAGTTATATTAAAATACATATTTGTAACAAAGTATTCTATTTCAATATGTATTCTAAAAAAAACGTCCCCGTCAATGTAAGTCGAAACTCAGTCAATATGACCAAATGACACGCTTCGGGGCCAAATAATAAAACAAGTTTGTCAATAATCCTTACCTCCATTATGAAAGAATGGGCGTGCGTTTTATACATTTTTTCTCTATGTACCGACAGCTTTAGAAAATGAACGGAAGCGACACGTTGTAAAGATTTAGCGATTACTTAAGCGGAAGTTTTCTCTTTAAAGAAAATGTTAAACAAAATATGGTTATTTTTGTTTGTACGACAAAAATACAATGAGAAAAGAACTTTACAAAAACAATAGAGAATAGAAGAGGCAAAAAGCTGCGCCACCTTATATGGCATGACGACTTTTTTAAGAGCATAAAAAAATAGAGGACAAAATAAGAAATTAAATTAAATTACTCGCCGATTAAAAAATTTTACCTCAAGTTATCTCTAATCACAAAATTATCAACAAAAACCACAAGTCTCGATTCTAGCGACATCTGGTAGGTCGTGTCTAATTTTGTTTAATGACCAACCACCTTAATACAACCTACTTGCTGTAGGGGGAAAAAGGATTGTTTAGTTATGAAATTTAACAGCCCCAATTTGCTAGCAATACACCCTATCAGGTCGACCTCCATGCGGTTCTCCCTAGAAACCATAGGGGTAATCTTTGTTCAATTGGTCACTATGGGCCAATTCACCTGCCTTCATACTCATCTGTCACCCTTCACTGGTACCCCGCCAGCGTATACCGATAGCACAGGCGGGGCTACTATTCCATATTCACTCATTAAAAAAAAACCTACTCGCTGTAGCTTATACAATATATTCTCGTCCGAAGAGCCCATCTGTTGTCACTACCGTCGACGAATGGGGAAAAAAATAAATTGTGGCGGCAACTCGGCCCCTCGTAGTCCTGCGTAATAACGTGTGACAACTGATTTTACTGTCCCAACTTTGTTCGATTTTTATCCTTGTTGACGTCAAATTATGTTAACCGGCATGACGTGAAAAGGAAAAATTATCAGTAATAGGGGAAGGTGGTCCCCATTATTATCAACGTACCCTATCAGCTCGATCTGCACGTGGCCGTCTCTGAAAAATATCGAAATTAATTCCTGGTGAATTCGTCACGTTGATTGAAATGTCCAAAAGAATCTATTAGACTCGATAACGCCAGTAACTCCATGAGATAATAATAGTAATAATATACTTTTTTTTTTAAATAAATTTCATTACAAGGATTTTTTATGGGGGGAAAGGGATTGTTAGTAATGGGGTCTAAATGCCCCATTGCTAGTAATATACAATATCAGGTCAACCTCCACGTGGTTCCCACTAGAAACCATCGTGGCTAATTCTAGTTTAATTCATCACGATGGGCTAACTGACCTGCTTTCATCGTCACCTATCATCCCTCACTGGTGCCCCACCAGCGTATACGGTTAGCGTAGGCGGAGTTACCATTCCATTAACATCCATTAAAAAAATAAATAAACAAAAGCAATTTTTATAGACATTTTTTATGATTCTACCGCCCATTTAGAATGCAATTTCAGCTGAGAAGAAC